GTGATTGTCGACTTACACCGTCGATATAACTTTCCCTCTTACTTTACTGAATGAAAATATTTCCTATTTGTATAATGCAGTCCGAATTTTCATCCAACAAAGTCGGAAGAAAAGTTAAATGAAAAGTTGAAGCATGTGAAGTGGCTTTGGGAGTAGATATGTCCTGAAACGCTGCTAAAGGCATTGTCCTTACAGAATGTTGTCATGAAACTTGTTGCAGGGTCGAAAAGCGGGCTTGAAACTTTAGTGATTTTGGAGTTACTGTCTGTATGATAAGAGGCTCCCTTGTTCCTGCAACAAGTTTGGGAAGATATTAGTGGAAATCCAGTTTTCAACCAGGATTAAGATAATAACTGGCTACAATTGGACGTATTTCTGTCAAATGGAACTGAGCGCCATAGGGGGAGGAAGGTAGAAGGGGGCTTGGATTGGCGGCGGAACCTGCCCCCCCCGCCCTGCCGGGCCCATTCCGTCTTATACTCGCAATGCTTTTCCATGGAGCTTAATTCCGTTTGACAAAACGCGCTACCCGGCATTGTAAATTTTTCAAAAGGAACTCAAACTGGCGCTTAGTTCCGTTTGACAGAAATACGTCCAATTAAACCAATTATTCTAAGTAAGCAAATCCGAACAATTTAGAGAATATCACACAGTGGGCTTTCACTTCTTCCTCTCTCAGTCGATCTTGAATCTCTACATGAAGTATACTTGGTAGTGCGATTAATATTGAGTAGGTCAATATTTGTCACAACTTTGCAAGTGATACGTAAGTCTCATGGAAACATCTCGTAGAGACAAAGCCAAAAGCAATCCTCGAATGGTGACTTCCTAGTTTTCTATTAGCCAAGCATAGGACCAATGAAATTGCTTTTTTCGACAGCATTCATACGGTAAAACATAGCAGGTCAGTAGGTTCCGGAAAAATTGCAGGCTGTGAGTGTTTTCAGGATTTATTAATTCAATCTTTATTTATTCCAGACACTTTGGAGAATAGTTTTGACCAACAGCAAAATAAATTAAAAAATGTGCAGAGCCTCTGGTTTTTATGTAATTGGCACCTCAGCTGAACACATTGAAGGAAACAGGGCATACAGCATTGCCAGTCATTGCCTACTAGTCGGAGGAACATTGGATGAAACAGCCTCAACAAATGACTTCATCCGCACTTCACTACATGACGACTCCAATGTACTCTTTGCTTGTAACCTGGCTTCAAGCATCGAGACTTTTATGGTAAGTATGTAGTTGACAATGCCTTACAGTACCATCTCAAGTTTGGAATTTTTTTCACCATATTTTCCTACAACCTAGCTTACTTTTTTCTAAAAATATGAATAAGATAAATGAAAGAATGAATATGGACCTTATAAAATTTCTCGAAGGTTAAAAATTGTAAATTGTTTTAGTAACACTTATACAAAGAAAATTGATAATGTGTGGTTAGTTGGGGAGAAATATTCTTTGATTGTTTCTACTAATACTCTGAAGTGAGTTCTATTTAAGCACGATCATAATATTTGAATTCTATCCGTCTATTCTGTATTATATCTAAATGGATTTGAAGTTAAAGAGATGTAAATTTGTTAGGGGGGAGGGGGGTTGGCGATGACTGTTTCTTTTTCGTTTTGAAGGATGTTAAGATAAGAACTTAAATTACAAGGTGGATTTGTAGATCTGTCTATAGGATTTGCTTTCTTTGTTGGTGCTTTTGATGGAGCATTAGTGAAGGAAGATTGAGATTTCCTCCTCTTCTGGGAAACTATTTGAAAGCTGCCTTCTAGACAGATCTGAACTGCACTGCTGTGCAACGCAAAAACGCTGTAAGCGCCATTTTAAATTTTAAGGAAACAATGTATCGTGGCAGAAAAACTTGTGTACCTTGAGACAATGCTTTTACAGAATTCTTTCGCAAATAGCATCAAGAACTCAACGCGAAAATTAGACATGCATGGGTAAAACAGTTTTTATGCGAAAAAATGTTAATTTCCAAAAAACGCAGGAAAATCTTGATGGATTTACGGCGTTCTTGCTTAGCACGGCAGTGTACCCCTAGAATTTGCTGGAGGTTGGGCTGTTGAGGTAGTGGCCTGACCATCCATGACTTCTACGTCTGGATGGTCCAATCAGATCTTGAATTAGTGAAATCTTCGGGCACATCTAGTTAACAGTTACTGTAAGGTAAGTTCTTATACTTGGAACATTTTGAGGGTAGTATTTTATGAACGCATTTGCAGTCTATTGCTGCCTTAGTACTGCATTTTGTTTCATGAATGAGCTGTATATTTGTGTTCGCACTTTTGGAAAACTACACTTTGTTTGACTGTCTTATTCCTTGTTTTAGGCTCAGGTGTTGCTGGGAGGATGTTACCTCTTTGAGACACCCCAACAGATTTTCTAATGGAAGAGAGGAATCATGAAGGGGAGGAAACATTGGTAAAATAATGCAAATTTTGCATTTCTGGAACTGAACTTTATAGATGTACCAGAATTTTTTTGCAGGTAATTATATCTCCTAGCGTTGCATAAGTTGCACAAGTTAAAAAAGTGTTCTTGATTACATGTAACGGATTCAATTCCTGGAAGATTGGAATCCTAGGAAAGAAAAGTATCTATCACTGCACAAAAATACACACAAGCAGCACTGCTCAGAGAGCACATGTCTTCACTCTACTGCTGTGATAAGCGACTCTTTCACATGATGAAAAAAAATTATTGTCTTCTACAATAAAATGTTCCAATCATCATGTTTTTTTCTTTTTTAATATCTTAATTAAATATTTTGAAAGAGCAGGATTACAAGTTTTAAGACTATATGGCAGTAAGGCAGTTTCTTTAGAATTCTTCTTAATTTATGTTTTCTGTTCTGTTATTTTGTTGCAGGAAAGTTCAGTCTGTTCTGCAGATACTCTCACCAGTCCAGAAGCGCTTTAAATGAAGATCGTGATCCATCCACCTACGTAAAATCATCAGCATCGTATACCACTATAAAGGCTCAGCTTCATCAGATATGTTGGTGGTTTTGGTTATTTGTTTAACTTTTTAATTCATCTTCGATTTTTTTATGAAATTATACATGAAGAAAATTAGACAATAACCCAGCAAAAATTCCTTGCCACTGCTTGATCGAAAGGAAAGTTCTTCAAAGGTGATCTTGATTTTTTTGTTCTATTATATCAAATGATCATTTTTCCTGTCAATTTCTAAAAATTGAACATTATATTGGTGGTAAGGTAATATTACAGGGATTCGTAAATATTCCTAGTGTGTCTACTGGATAAAGAAATTATGGATACACCCTAAAAGCATTGATTTTAAAAAGTTCATACCTACAAAAGTTTGGAGAGAAACTTGAGGATTTTTCTCGTGAAGGCACAGAAATTCAAAATTGTTGCAATAAACTTATAGATAGAGCTTTGAAGGTATGCAGTTTTCATACATAATTCAATGTACATATCACATTCCTGTGGAGTATTAGTCAAATTCTGCGTGTTTCAGTTCATTCCTCTAGAGCTAGACTTCTCACATTCTACTGTCCAAATCGGAATTTATTTTTTTTCTGCAAAAATCTATCCTTGCCAGAGTTCTAAATGTGTGTCATATGAGGAAAAAGTGAAAAAAGGCAAGGTTTCTTGACCAACCACTCATAGGAGAGTACCATGGAAAGTATCGAAAAAGTAAGGTGAAGCAAAGGAAAAGGCCAGAATTTTAGATGATGACGTACCAGTGTACACCTTGTACTGTATCTGTGGAGGGTCATTTTACTGTAAGGATTTTTTTTAGGAGTGCAATGGAAAAAGGACGCCACTCGAAGAGAATGTACAACAGCAAGAGCTAACAAGAGAATACACATCTGGCAGTTAGCTTAATACTATCATAATTCTAACAGAACATGATTGGACGACGGCAGCACTGGATTCTGGAGTATATAATCTCTATATGACAAACCAAGTCACCTGCATCAACAACAGGCTACATCATGTGCTTCAGGGAGTTCCTACGCTTCTGCATTAGGTATTGATTATAAGTTTGTAAACATGAGTGGTTTCCTCAACTTTTTTCAGGGAAACATGTTTTAAATCTACATTCATTTTATTGATAAGATACAAGAGATTTGGAAAATTTCTGTAGAAGATTTTTCCCTCTCTCTTGACTTTTTTCTACTTTTTTGATTTTTGGAAATTGTTAGAATGGAGATTTTGGAGAATCATAACTCAGATGCATAAAGAATTGAGTGCTTAAATGTACAATTCTTTATCAAATACAGACAGTTATCTGTTTGATGCACATCAGGAAGCATTAAAAACAATGAACCATAAAATAAGGTGAGATTTAAGGCTTTCTGAAATTTTTTGCCTCTTCGAAAGTTTATGTAGAAAATGATTCATACATAGGCTGTCCAAAAATTAATGCAATAATCAACTTTTAGAGCGAATGGAAAAAGCCAACAAAAAATCGATGTGCACATTTGTATAGATGGAGTAAAAACCGATAAAATGAGACCTTGTTGAGCTCTTTTAGCCGAAAATTAACGGAGATACGACGTTTCTCCTGCGGCATGTTGAGAGACCGGCTCCAGGATCTTGGTAGAACTTTTCGCAGCACACTGTGAAAAGTCTTATAAAGCCAACATTAAGGTTGATCTTTTACGAAATGCACTTCCAGATATAGTTGGCAACATAAAGGGAGGGTTTGGAAACATTACTTGGCAAGGTGTGCGAAGCTCGCGGTTGCCATAGGTACGTGTAAGAGAATAGTTGCAACCGAGTCGGCTGATCTATCAAGTGGTTAATTTTGCTCACCTCTTTTGCGATTTTGAGTGCAAAACGATGTTGAGTGTAGGAAAAGAAAACATTACATCATCTGCTATTGTTTTCAGAGTGAATTGTCGTTAAATGATATTTAGATAGAAATTAAAGAAGTGTGCAAGGATGATTGTTTAGACAGAAGCATTATTTGTCACTGGCTAGTTCTTTTCTTTGCAAAAAGTACCTCTAAAATCCTGGAGGCGGTCTCTCAACATGCCGTGGGAAAAATATCATCTCTGTCAATTTTTGACCAAAGAGCTCAACAAGGTCTCATTTTCTTGGTTTTTACTCCGTCTACACGAATATGTACACCGAATTTTTTAGCTTTTTCCATTCGCTCTAAAAGTTGATTATTGCATTACTTTTTGGGCAGCCTATGTATAGGGAATATTACTGAAACAAACGTTTTTTACATGAAAAACTTGAATTTCCTGCTCACAAGTTAAACCAGGGTTGATGAGTAATCGAATCGAGCACCACAACATTTTTGACAGGCATGTGAAGCCAGCAGTGTTACTTCCTGCCCTGTTTTCCGTGTCTGAAGAATGTGCAACAGTTAAGCCAAAGCACAGAGATTACGGTTGCTATAATCTTATTCTGCAGAGACAATTATATGCAATTTAACTGGGTACGATGCATTTTTTTTTTTTTTTTTTTTTTTTTTTTTTTTTTTTTCATGAGTGGGAATTTTGAATTTATGCATTAGAATATGTTAATATCTTGGTTAAGAGGATTTTCCTCATTAATTTTCGTTGCACTAATCAAGTTCTATGTGAAATTTTGATAAGGTAACTCTTATAATGCTTGAATTTGCACCTTGTCAAGTTTTCTTTCGCAAGAGACTGTTTCTCTTTAAGTGGATGTATATGCATACTCTTGAATATTCAATGAGCAACTAAGCATGGCGGTATATCAGGTAATTCTTCAGAACGGATTCTGTGATTTAGCTCGTGCTTTAATCTGCCCATATATAACTGTTATTGGCAAAGGCCATAATGTGAGTGCATTGCAATGTGCCCAACTCTTCAGGGAAAATATTTCAAAATAGACGCAGAAAACAAAAAAGAGATAGAAATAGACAGATAAAAAGGAAGAACGTATCCTTTTATTCAAGTGATTTATTGATAATTAGATTTATAATGGAGGCTCTTGACCAATTCCTCAACCGTAAAAACATTGTTGACAAATAAACTGTTGTAAAACTTTTAGGTTGCCTGGGAGAAGATCCGTACTTTCAAGTTCGAAAGAACAGTATTCGCGAAAAGAACAGCCTGCAAGCCAACTAGAGAGCCAGACTGCCAAAGAACAGACTCCCGACAGACACAGACACCCGAAGCCAAAACAGTCTATGAGCCTACGCAGATCATAGGCAATCTTTTTCATTTCTTGAATTAGATATATTGGTAGAATTAATTACTGCGGGTGCAGGATTCTTTAAATCAAAGGTAAAGTATTTTAAACTATGTTTGTACTAGCCAAGCCTACAGTTTATGAAGGAACACTTCTGAAATCCCTGGGTATTCAAAAAGATCATGGAGCATGTTTTTGAGAATGTGCTCTACAAGTGATCTTAGCTACTGTGTAAACAAATTTTTAAAAAGTTAAGTAAAAAATCAGGAATGCCAAAGAAACCACCCAAACATTCCGAAGTGAACGTAAAATATGTGGGTAAAACCTCTCAAGCCAATTCGTTAATCATAACTCAGTAATTCATAATCGTTGCAATCATGCAATCTTCTCTCAGCTTGTCTTGAAGTAATATCATAATGCTCACAAAAAAATTCTCAATGTTTAGTGTAGCATTTCTTAAGCTCTTATTTGTGCACCAAAGGAATGTCTTCTTTGATCTTGAAATTAATGGGGTGGAAAGTTTTATTAACTCATTTTCAGGTGATGTGATCATTCTATATTTGCTCGTCATTTCATTTGCATAGAAACTATCCTTCAACTTGAGTACATTATGCAGTCACCTTAGAAATTTCCAGTCAACTGCGTTCTTTAAAATATGATCTAAACAATTTTTTTGAGCGATTCTCTATAAGAACTACAGATAACTTAACCTACAACTTTTTTCATTGTGTGGCACCTAAGAGCTTTAAATTATTGTTCTTTGCATCAGTTTATCAAAAGAGTAGATATGCTCTTGAATTCTGTTTTTAAAATTTAAGCATTTGTTAATCGTTGTAAAAATTTCATGGATTTTAATACTTCATTTTTTTGCGCCTCAAAACTGTCAGTTTGATAGACATGGTCATGCAAGAGGAATATCTTTTCACAGTCGAGTCCCAAATTCTCTATTTCAAATGACTTTATCCATCTTTACTCAGAAACTATTGTCTTTGTCATTCTATTTGTTGGCCTTTATTTCTAATTTTCATTTTTTATTTCTAAACCATAGGTTCAGTCTGATGTTGTGACACTGAATGAGTCTAAAATAAGTGGTGACCAGATTGGCGTCTATATTGCCCAATCGTTTATTTGTGTCAAAATTCTTTGGGCTATTTCTCTAAGGAAAAAGGAAAGAAGATGCCCTGGCTGTCGAACTTCGGGGATGTTCAACTTGCCATCGTAGGTATGACTAAGCATTCTTCAACATTTATTCGTAGATTTTTTATCATTAGAAGGGTATGTTGTCACTCAAGAATATTTTTCATCATGGTCAATTTATTTATATCCAAGCAAACTGAAGAATGAGTTCCTCTATTTATGAATCCAAAGAATGTAAAATCAAATGTCATTTTCATCCATGCAATGCCCTTTTTGTGCAAAATCTACGATGGTAGAAAACTGAACATAGAAATCTGTAAAAGTTGAAAAAATTAAAGTCTGTCATTTCTGTTATTATGTTCCTCATAACCTTCTGAGTTCAGAAGGCTTTAAAACTCGAACTTTCGACCAGATAAAATCGGTGAAAATTATGTTCAAAAAGTGAATTTTTCACCATGCTTTTACATATCTTCTGGCAGTAATTTTGCAGTCACCAGTGACAAAAAGAGAAGTCTCTGATTCTTGCCTTTGGAATAAAATAGACATTGTATGTCCTCAAATTCCTGTCAGGCTTAAAACAGAGTAACAAATTTGAATGAATTAAATAGGACACATTATCAACCAACAATTTTTTTTGTTGATATTAGTGCGCCTCAGCACTGTTTCAAAATTATGAGTGATAAAAAATTCATTCTCCCAAAAGTTTCAAAAACTGTGAAGGCAAGGTGTCTCTCGAAGGCCTGGAGGCTGCGATTGTTTTTGAAGGCCAGGTTCTTTCATTCATTTGTCAATCCTCACCACTTAAAACCAGCCTTCAGCCACATAACTGTTGCCATTTAACTGCAAAATTGTCACGTGAAAATTTTCATTTTAAAGCCTTCTGCTCTCAGGTCATAAGGAACATCATCTAAAAAGAGAAGACATTCCACTAGTACCAAATTTCTTTAAAAAAATGTTGTTTATCTGTAAGTATTGGGTACCAATCTACCTGTTGAAATTGAGTAGTAAACTGCTGGCAAGCCAAGTAGGTAAAAGTTGTTTCCTGTTTTTTTCTTTTTTCTTCTTCTTCTTATACATAACTTAGCAGTTCATTATTTTGACCACTAAACGGATAAAATTAACTCTCAGGAATCGGGGTGAATGTTCATAGACCCTCTAAACAAAATTCTAATCTTTAACAGGGTCTACATATGGTTGATATCTGTTTTATTCTAACTTTATTCTAAAATGTTGGAAGTTTTCATTGCTCGGACTGGAAGTTTTTTGCTTGATTATTCTGTATCAATATTGATCATTCTTTATTTTCATGATCAATTCAAAATAATGTTCAGACCATTATAGTCTGAGACCGGATCCGTGAGAAGGGACCTCATCTTCTAGAAGAATATTTTCTCGAACTTTTTAGAAATTCAAGGCGGAAGAAAATCTGGAAATCTCACAAATTGAAGAAGATATATTAGTTTTAAGGTTCCGAGACATAAACTCATAGGTTCAACTCAAAAATTGGCAATAGCTGATGTGGCTTGGTTCCTTTCTGTTGAACGCGGTCCATTTGTAACATTGATGACTTTTTTTGGGTGTAATCCATGGACTATAATATAAGCTTTGGCAAAATTCTGCCTCCCAGAAGCAACAAACGAATCTAACAGAATCCGGTCAAATGCATTCATAGAAGAATTGACTGTCAAATAATTCTCATTATATAGAACTTTTCTTTCTCTTATTCATTTGATGAATCCGAAAACCTGGCATCCCCGGAAGAAAATCCCCAGAAGGAATCCTGTTCCTGTTTGTCCTAACAATTTTGTAAATTATGTAATTCATCTTTATTTTTGTTTCAGAAAAAGTTTCTGGCACTTAAAATCAACTCTCCAGCCAGCCTATCAATATTGAATATTATGCACACCTTCATGTTGAACGATCTTGTTGTACTGTATTCTTGGGTTGGACACAGACAAAAAATGAGTCTCTCTACCAACTTCACCGCAGTTGTTAACTTGTTGCATGGTTAGTAGTAACTAGGGGGCTACGCCCCCTGGCCGCTACGCGGCCCAACCCCCTGAAGGCGCTCCGCGCCATCAATGGGCCGCTTCGCGGCCCTATTTTTACCCTCCTATCAGTGTTAGTTTTATTTTTTCCCTGAAAAATTACGATATGAGGTATACTTTAATTTTAAACTTTACTTAAAATTACTTTAAAATTAAAAGGACGCGTTTTGGAATGACTGCTTGATGAAATATTGCAGTAAAACAATGGACAATGATAGTCAGGTAATAATTAAAATTATATGAGTCGGGGATCGAACCCACACCGGGTTCCATGTGGACGTATTCGACGTCTTAGACGTCTCAGCCACCGCTCGACGTGAAATCGTAGGTGCGAATCTTGTGTAGAGAAGTGTAGAGCTGATGCGCAGGCTACACAGCTACTGCGCAACCTCCTCGACCACTGCGCATCCTCCCGCGCATAGCGGTAGCAGTACCGGAGCATTCTGTGAACTCACTCACTTTTATAACGTGATTTTAAAAAAACCTGGGTCCTTTTTCCAAAATCTGATTACAACGGGCTCATCTAGGGCCAATTACCTGACGATTTACGCAAAAATCATGGAAATCGGCCGGGTAGAACGCTCAAACAAACTATGACAAAAAGTATAAATTTACATTGTTTAAATGGGAGAATTCGCAACTTTACCACGTAATATAAAAAAACCTGGTTCATATTTTGAAAATCTGAAAAGAGTTGGCTAATTTAGAGACAATTGCCCGTCGATTGCCGCAAAAATCATGAAAATCGGCTCGGTAGAAGGCTGGAACTAAGCGTTACCAGTTACGCAAAATTAGGAGGTCTCGGAGCTTATAGTATAGATGTCAGCAAAGAGTTCTAGGCATGTTTAAAAAAAATTCGTCTGAATATAATTTAAATAAAATTTTGTCTATGCAGGCCGTGTATTTATCATTCATTTTTCAGTGCCAGGAAATTACAGGACATCTTCGTTTAATATCTCACTGATTTTTCTGGGTGATGTTTAGAAAAATCACTTAAACTTGCAGAGCTATTTACGCAAAAATTATACATTGTTCAAATTTTTGTCAAAATGCACTTACACGTATTGTGCTCTGGACGCTTAATTTGACATATTTCTGCCAAACAGAATTATATACAAGTAGGGAAGATGGGGTTTGCTCCAGAAAGCCGCATAAGAAACAGTGTTAAATTGGTCGTAATTCCCTTTGGAGAAATTATAAATTTTAGGATTTTACATTCTGTCAAACTACGTCCCAACTAAATGCTGCACTCATGAGCCGTGGGCATAGGAAAAGAGCATTGTGGACAGGACTCAGAAGTTAATGCTGACAAAGAGCAACAACGGAGACGACTTCATTGCAGCTGACATTCCTCGCGCTTTATAATTCCCATTCATTCTTATTGCCCTTGACTAATGAGCACACCCCTTCTTTCCCACTTGTCTCTGGTTCTGTTTGGCATAAATACGTCCAATTTTATAATTTAATTAATTTGAATTTTTCACAAATTTGATTCAAGTCTATTCTTGCATCATTCCATGCCCAGACACTGTCTTTTAAGAGAGCAAAAACCATAATTTATGCTTTTCGTGTTATCCTTAAACTATTGGTATCAAATTTTCATGATAAAGCTTTGCAATGGGCCTGTTGCAAACTTTTGCTGGAGCAAAAATAAAAGTTGTTCCTCATAGATAATGTCTCAAAAATCACGATAAGCGCATCAGCAAACTCCGAAATGCACTCTGAACTTCATAATTAGCCTAAAAAATTTGCGTTTTTTAAGCTTCCCGCTTCAAAAAGGATACTACAGCACAGTCATACATTTCGTTAGAGGAGTCGTTCCATTCAATCCCTGCTCAACATGGCCAATGCTTCTGTGTTCAAGTTGAGGAGAGCACGAGGTCAATCAAGCTGGATTTCTATCAACGCGAGAAAAATGAGAATGTAAACACGCCGATTGTTATCAGGTGATTAGAATCATCGTCCTGTCTCATGTGTTTTGGCGGATTGGCGTCGGGTACCCTTGTAAGCAGGGGTTGGATGGAATGTTACCTCTAATGAAATGTTCACCTGTGCTGCGGTAACGTTTTTGAAGCGGGAAGCTCGAAAAATCGCAAATTTCTTTTGCAAATTGTGAAGTAGGAAGTGCATTTCAGACTTTGCCTGTAGCTCATCTTTATTTTTGAGACACTTTCTATGAGTAATAACTCTTATTTTTGCTCTAGCAAAAGTTTGCAATAGGCCCATTATGGTGATTCGATGGACGCCATATTTCAAGTCAGAACGGCATGCGATATATCGCAGCAATTGGTTCCATTTTTTCAGCTACTCATCATTTTTCTCCAAATTTGAGGTCGCAATTCTGTTGTCAAGAGACTAAAGCACTCGCTTACCAATTTTAACAAAGAAATTCAATGTAATAAAGGTGTGGTTTTTTTAGAGAGAAAATATCGCAATCGAGTCGCAGTTTCGATATCAGTATCGAATGCGATATTTTCTCTCTAAAAAAACCACGCAATTATTACATTGAATTTCTTTGTTAAAATTGGTAAGTGAATGCTTTAGTCTCCTGACAACGATCTCAAAATTGGAGAAAAATGACGAGTAGCTGAAAAAATGGAACCAATTGATGGGATATATTGCTCGTCGTTTTGACACAAAATATGGCTTCCAGCGAATCACCTTAATAAACCACCATCAAATGTCTGTCCATTATCATCTCTGGCATTTTCTTTTTTTTTTGCATTATCTCATTATACTCTCGTAGTCATGTGTTCTAATTTTATTCCTTTTTTTTTCCAGATTCAGATATTGTCTGTCTTGAAGTCAGTGCCAGTTGCAACAGATAAATCAATAAGTGACACAGCGAGAATTCGACTGATCAAAGTGAAAGATCAGTTGGAGTAAGTCATTATTTAATACTCAGTACATCCTTTGAAATTCAAATATTTTCAACAAATTTAAAGGAGCACCTCCCCATTATAATTATTAGGACAGTATGACAACCTGCAAAATCATTTTATTTCTTGTGTGGGTTTTTTGAGAGTCTCAATCATCACACACAGAGAGTTCTGGTCCACTCGCTAGATTTCAGTTGCGAGAAATTTTCGAGACAGTTATGGAGGATAATGGGGTATACTTGAACAGAAATGTGCTGAGGCATATTTTAGGGGGATATGAGTTGGGAGTGGTTTTGAATGTAACCAGTCATTAATTTAATCCTGTCAAAATTTCACAAGCGAGAAAAAATATTTTAAACATGAAAATAGTTGTCAAACTTTGTCTTGAACATTGAGTTTTTTAGAGAGAAAAATTCCAAACCTTTTCTCAGTTCAAAACTATGCAACTTGGTGTGCTATTGGAAGCCTTCTGCTACTTTAATTTAAAGTAGAAGAAGAATATACATCTTCTGCAGACCATATATGGCAGGTTTAAACAATATTGGACTAGCAGAGGAGGTTGATGAAAATTCAGCTCTGTGGTTTTGACTGCGAATGTTAGGGATTTCGTAAAGGTCTCATTCAGATTTACGTTTCATTCAAGGCCCTAGGAGATTGTTCTTCGTGAGGTCCTCGAGTTTTAATATTGGCACAACCTCACACAGCCCACAGGGTTTCAAAATTTTAACATTCATGGATGCTGACATCAGGGTCTTAGCGACTTGAAAAGCTTTGCAAAACCTCTGACAGGGCCCTTGAGGATTTGGAATTCAATTATTTAGGAGTTTCCATGGGCCTTCAAGAGTTGTATAACATGTCAGGGAACCGGGTTAACTCAAGATGGAAATATTCATTGGTCTCTGAGACCACTAAGACCTAAGGAGGGACATAAAGGCCACAAAATCAATGTACACATGAGTGTCAAGATTACAATAGGACCTCTGAAACCTCTTAAGCAAAAAAAGGGCTTCCAAGCATACCAAAGCAATTATAGTTTAACTTGTTAGCTTGTTACTTACATAATTGAAGCACTATTAATATTTGCATCATTTTAGCACTCTTGCGTCGAGCCAGCAATGTCTATCAATAAGCAAGAAAAAAACACCTTAAAATGTGGCCCGAACTGTATGTAACAAGGCGGTAAAATATTGCTGGGTCCATACTATTTAGCGGAGATAGCAAGCCCAAATATTTGAAGAATTTTCAACTAGTGTCAAACATTTTTGAACTTTAATGAGTATCAGTACAAGATTGAGGGGCTGGGGAACTGAGCTGGGCTCACTGATGAGTATGATCTACCGATAAGGTCTGAAAGGACCCAAAACGTTGTAGATCTCTCGGTATGACCCCAGCTCAATGTTCCAATATATCTGCTTGACCTAAACACTCTGCCATCCTCAGTCTTCTACTGATGCTCATCAGAGTTCAAAATTGTTCAACTCATATTGAACATTTTTTAACTATTTAGCCTTGTTTTCCCCGGAAAATAGTGCGGACCCATCACTATTCGTCTATAAATAAGTGTAATAAGCAATGATGAATCATTGGTTCTTTTAATAAAAAATAAAACAATCGCCATATTATATATTATAAAAAATATTTGAAAAAATTTACATTTACATTTTTATTGCTAGACTATAGTGAGCAAGGTTTTCTTTTCCTTACAGAAATGCCGCAAAGAAAAGAAGTTGAGAACAAAGAATGACTTATTTTCAGTAGAAGGAGAAAAGAAAAAGAATGAAGAACAAGATGAAGAAGACTTCCTGCAGGAGAACAGTCAAGCATCTCGTGACAACAAGGACTTTCAATGGATAATCTAAATTTTCGTAACGTTGATGTAATTTTTCATTGCTGAAAGATTTTTCAACTGGTTTTACTAAAATTGTCTTGGTTGTTATTTTATGTTTATTGAGATTATATATTATATTTATAATATATCTTGAGTACTCATTATTTTCACCCATGTCTAATATAATACTTATTTCCATTTCTTCGTCCCTCTCATCAATGGGGATTGAATATACTGTATGTGCCTTGGCATGTACGGCAGCATGTTAGAGACTGTGGTATAGTAAAAATCCTTATGATATAAGAGTGAAAATCTTATAAAATCCTTGATATCTTGAATATAATGAAGGATAGGTAGGTAAATTGTTTTTACAAGTAAATTCATAAATCTTAAATTTACCATTTTTCTCATCATTGCATTTAAAGTAAACATGATCAAGACAGGCAATCTCCCACATAGGTCCTTAACAAGGCTGTCAGCCATTTGTGACCAAGATTTCCATAATTTCGTTACCTAAAGCATTTTTTGGATCAAATATATGAATATTGAACCCATTGAAATTTAAGTGCCTGTGGTATTGGTTCATGATTTTAGAGCATAGGTATTGCAACTCATTTCAATTTTATGGCATTAAAATTCAATTCAATGGGCCCTTCGATCATTGAACAGGGAACATCCGAAACATTGCAATATATTAGTAATAATTGGACCGAGTTTATCAGAAAGGAATCAATCTACATTTTTGAAAAAATTGAGTGAAGAATGTTTTTGACTTTCACTAGCCGTATTTTTTCTCCTGCCAAAAACTGAAAGTCTTAGTACAAAAATTGTTTTTTGAAAAGAAGGGACAAAGTTGATTTTTTCCATTGAGCCTTATGCAGGAACAAAACTTCAAATCTCTTTTTACCAGTTTCAACTTAATGTGGGTCGGTTCTTTTCTGATGAACTTGGTCCAATTCCACAATGCAATTGCACTTTACTGCAACCTGCGCTACTTTCGGAGGGGTCTCTTAGGCCGAGTGCTGTTGGTGCTGCGAGAGGAAGGGTTGGGCAACAAAGCGGCCAAGGGGGCACCTCCAAGTATGAATTGAGCACATAGTCTTTCAAAATCGCCAAAAAAATTTTGACTTATCATCATACGAATATCTTGTAAAGGTAGCCAAGAAATCAAAATTTGAATATTCACAGTATATTCAAAACATGGGCTGTGTGGTCACTTAAATATTCCATTCCACTAATGATCATAGAATATTTCAAGATATTCAACAAATATTTCATGAGTATTCATTTTTTCCCTCTAATATTGTTAGTATATTCTGTGAATATAACCGTACTATCTACGAAAGTAGGAAAATTGTAATAGAACAAGCAAAAGATGAGGCAATAACAGAAAGTAAAATTAAAAGCAAGTATGAACTGGGCTAACATGTTCCAAGCTACTTGTATTCCCTTCCTCCTGCCTCATGTATTTATAGACACATCATTAACAGGCAACTTTATTAGAATGAGTGCTGAGCATTGAAAGGAAGTGACATTAGTCCGTTGGTGATATGCTTGATACAAATGAACACACGTCACAAAACTGCTGCAAGCAAATATTACCTACTGCACCCAAGCTGCTTGAATTCACTAACGAGATATCAAAGGCAAGCTGGTCCTAGTGAGAAACAATATGAGGAATGTACTAAGCCCCTACAGCTGTGAACTAGAGTGCACCTGACCGAAATGCTGCGAGCAACTATTACTGCTTCTAAGCCACACACGTTGCCTACCGAGATACTGAAGGCGAACTGATCGGAACGAGTGAGAAACAATGTGAGTGATGTATCAAGTCGCTACAGCTGTGAACAAACAGAGTGCACCTGACTGAAATACTGCGAGCAACTATTACTGCTCCTAAGCCGCTCACGTTGCCTACCGAGATTTTGAAGGCGAACTGGTCGGAGCGCGTGAGACAACAAGGTGAGTTGAGTATTAATTCACGGAAATCATGAACGAAGCAGAAGCAGGGATCGCTAATTTTAAATTTGGGGCCCTGAGAGCTCATAATTGGACCGCGTTTAGCAGAAAGAAACTAAGCCACAGATCCGAAAGAGATACATTTTTAAAACTTTCCGGGGAGGGTCTTTCGTGGGTTGCCGCTAGTTACTCAAATAATCACATCCTTGCCCATTAATTCCAACCATTCACTCCACGCAGGGCCGGATTAAGGGGGTGGCCACATGGGCCGCGGCCATAGAATAAAGAGTGGTCTATTTATTCTATGCCGTGGCCTATGGCGGCAAATCTAGGGAGCGGAAAATTTTGCAATTTTTTTAAATGTAGGTATAAAAAAAATCGGATTTAGAAATGAAAAAATAACAAACGAGGAAAGGCTACAAAATCTCTCATTTCCTGAGAGTATAGTAATTTCTAATTTTGTCGTCTTTCAGTGATACAAGAGGCAGCACCTTTAATTAGTCGAGTTAAGAGAGAAACCAAACACACAATTTGGCCTGGAACTTGGACTTACGGAGAAATGATGACGAGGACTTGAGATGAAAAGGAGAAGCCATCGACGCGGCAATCGGCATGTAACACATATTGGCGCCTACAAGACTGCACGAATGCTTCACGCATTGCATCAAACACAGTGCAGTTATTGTGGTCAGCGTAAAACGAATAGCGCCTACAAGAATGCATGAATACTTCACGCATGGCGCCAAACACAGTGCGGTCAGCATGGAACGCATAGCGCCTACAAGACTGCGTGAATACTTCACGCATTGCGCCAAAGACGATCCGGTCGGCGCGGCGGCGGAAGTTAAAACCATTAAACCAAATCTTGTGTTTGTTCTTTCATAATTGTTTCGTTCATTTCTTATGAATTGAAGGCCTCGTTCATTAGAGATAGGTTTACGAAACTTGACTCTCGCGCAAAGTTCCGTGACCTTTTGCTAGTAGTGTTGACAGGGCTTTCCCAAAAAATGTGTTCAACAAGAGTAAACGCGTCTTATGCACCCCTCCTCCGATGGCACGTTCACTTGATGGTTTTTATTGATGTTTCAAATGAGAAGGGGACGGCAAAATACAGGCGGCCCGTAGGCGGCAAGTAGGAAAATCCGGCCCTGACTCCACCAACAGATTCGCTCGATTCCCCTTTGTTTTATTTGTCCATAACTTTCATACATTTCAATAGGCAGCTCGTGAGTCGCTTTTCTTCCCTATGACAGTCGTGCCCATAGGCGGATCCAACAATTTGGCAACACCGGAGTTCCTCCATTTAAACCTATGCTAAATAATCGATTCCTTTCGGAGCACCTCCCCCCCCCAAGAATCGATTCATTTCCATAGGTTTAAATGGAGTAAAGACAATGTTGCCAATTCGATGGATCAGCGAATGGTCGTGCCTTTCATGCGTTGGAGGTCCTTTATTCGGGGTAAGTCCGTGTCTTGACCTCAGCGGTAATCGGAAGGCATTGTCGTCCGATTGTGGAGAGTAACATAGATTTTGTCTTTAATGGTATACCAGAAAATGTCTCAAAAATATATTTTATATGTACTAAGGAGTTACGCCCCTAGACCGTCTCGTCTCATGGTCCAACCCCCCGAAATACTTCGCGCTTCAGGTTTTATGCGTTACGCATTATTCTTATGATTTTATGTCATAAAGTAAGGTATCATATGATAGCATTCGTAGTCGGAGGTTCTTCCGGCAAAAATGGAGGATTATATGTATGTCGCAGGCAAATAGTCAAATCAGAATCAGGCATTTCATCAAATGCCGAGGCAGATACTCAAATTTTCAGAGTCTACGAGGTTTTTTATGTTTTCACAAAGACCCGCCTAATTTTCAACATTTTGAGACTAAAAACCTATCAAAGTACAAACTTTCATTGTATTTCCCGTTCAAAAGTGCTCATCATAATTCTTCAATATTCCAAATTGTGAAAACTTTTTATTTTATGAAGCTGCATATTTTGAGATAAATTTTTCATTCAAGGACTAGAAAAAACGTATTTATAATCATGATCGAATGGAAGAACTTTTTCAAGGGAATTCTTCACCACATGATCAGAGAATTATTTTGTCTAGTCAGCAAAATAATCAGAATTTCAGTCCAAGTAAGAATATTTAACTATTTGCCCAGGCACTTGATAAAATGCCTGATTTGACTCTTTGCCTGCTACATGTACAAAGGAAGGTCAGGTATTGTTGATCAGTTGGACTGCATTTTGCAATTTGGACCTATAAATTCTGGCTCATCTGAAAAAACACTTATGTGCATAGGGAAACTAATGGTACATACGTCGTTTTTGAACCGGGCCAGAATTTTTAGTTCCAAATTGCAAAATGCAGTCCAGTTGCGCTTCTCCCTAGAATCGTGTCAAGTCCACTTAGCGAAAATAGTCTGTCCAAATGCGAGGTTTTTACGTCCGATATTAATGTTACATCGAGTTGTACGTTATCCGATACGGAGTTACCGCCCTCAGAACAGCACACTTTACGTCATCCATCCGTGGTATCGCATACCATGGTTCCTTATGTGTTGGATTCGTCAATCGGTAATCTGAATAAATTGAGATCGTGGACCTTTTGGCAGTTGTCCATCTGCATTTCGCCTTCAATTTGGTGCATAGGCAACGTGCCTACCACGGATTGCGAATAATTATCTATTCGAAAACCATATATAGCCTCGCTCCATAAACTTCGATAGAACCAATAGACGAATCGTAAACCTCTTTACAAATATTGTCCACTCAAGTTCCGCCTTCAATATCGCCGCATAGGCAGCAAACATACCAGGAAGCGCGAATAGTTATGTATTCGTGAACTTATTGGTATCGTCCTGTACGCCGTGCTATACCTACTTAACTTTTTTTCTGGTACCATGCGTCTTTAATAAAGTTCGGCTTTATATTCATTCGTAAAATTCTACCACTCAAACTAGCAAAATCGCGATCTGATAAGTAGTATCCGCTTGCGTAAAATAAGAATTTTTAAAAATGAGTCCACATTTTTTACATTGATTTTACTTAACTTGAATAGATTTACTCGCATGAACTAGTTGATTCAGTCGCTCCTGGCCATGGGCGATTCCACGCCCCCCCCCCCCCCCCCTTTCGCCTGAAAAAGAGGAGGAAGGAAAAGGAGAGGTAGGAAATAGGG